TCCTGGTGTATGAATTTTACGGTGATGGTTGATTTTTCGGTAGCATTCACTAACGTATGTCTGACTCTCCACTGTGTCAGTGGCTGCCTTATTGTATCCAGTTATTATTGTATTTGGATGCGGTCCTTTGAGGTATAGAATTTCCTCGAGCGGAATGTTGTTCAATGAAACCATATGAGTAATTTTTACTATCATTTGCCCGCTGAATGGTACAGTTACAAGTGACCGGTAATCAATTTCACCGTTATGTACGTATGCAAAATTTGAAAGTATATTTTTGAATTTTCAAGGAATCATGCTGGCATATCGTGCCTACTTACTGAAACTCTGTTGACTTATTGGTTTGGTAGTTGTTGGTATTCATAGCTTAATTTCAGCACTAACTTCAGTTTTCATGTACTTATAACGGTCAGCTTTTCATTTTAAGACAAAAGAGCCAGCGCTATGGTCATAACACGTAGCATTGTTGCGAACTTGTGTTTCAAGTGGCCTTCATTTTGAGGGAAGATTTAACTGCTGCGATATTCCGATTTCATATACATAATTTAGGCTCGTACGTGAAAGAAACTTATTATCTTAGCTGGAACAAGGGCAAGTTGTTCAGAAGGTTAGGGAGACTTTATTTTTCAGTTTGTTTGTATAAATACCATCGCTCATCTAGTTGCATTGCAATTCCACATGAAGCAAAAGATTATGACTGTCTTGCTCGCTCTTCTGCAAAAGAAAGTTAACAACACGGGAATTACTTCACAAGACTGTCTATATCAAGTTCAGTAAGGATCAATAGAAGTTTTTCCACTTCAGTGTTATGAGTTAATTTGTGAACTGTGTTGGTCCCTACAGTAATTGATTTATCATGGGTACTTCATTTTGAAAACAAAAGTGTATATGTTTTACTAAATCTTGTGCACTTCATGTATAGACTTAATGTTCGTCCAGGGGTTATATGGCAATTGCCTAATTTTTCAATCAGGCTAAAATTATGACCCGTAATCTCAAGAAATGTTGTGATTTTCATTTTCAACAGCCCACTATCTATTGAGTTTGGACAATGAGGAAAAATAACTAGGTTTCTTGAAAAGCTAGTGCGTCAGTTTGTGAATTCCATGAATTACGCAAATTGCATTCTATTCACTTAGTACTAAAACTAAACTACGAGGGAACTCACATTTCCAAGAAGGATGTAATACAGGGCTCATTTGTACAACTGTCGTCCTTATTTGAGTTCAATTTCATCATACATGTATTAGTGGAATTTTCTGTCATTGACTTAAGGGATTTACCAGGGAACGGTCTCGTCAACTTGGATTCAGCTGATGATATTGTCCACCCAGGTTGTGAGAATTGACCACTCAGTCTGAAAGATATGAAAATACCACTATTGTTTGGTTGTGGTTTGTAAGTAGTATGATATGGGGAGTAATATTGGGGTTAAGTGTTATTGTTACGTAGAGATGTGACTCCAAATCGTTGTCAATAACACAGATGCATCCATTTTGTGTAATCTCACGTATCCAATCAACCCTCATGTTTTTTCTCGTAACAAAGGTTGATATTCACCATCTACAAGTAAAATATCCATTTGAGGAATGTGGAATATATTTATTAGTGATTTAACATAGAAAACAAAATCAACGACACTAGTAACTACCTTCTTTAGTATAGGCAAGCCAATACTGTATGCAGATATTAAGGTGACATATACCTGCACAAACACAGATATCGGTACAATTATGAACTCCATACATGAAGAATTAACAAAATGGATATATGTGTGACACTGAATATATTGAAAGTGTGCTGGCTCTGCATAGTCCCTATACATATTAAATATAATGATAATCTGTATATCTTACACTTTGGTTTCAAAACATGATATAACCTTAGACACACTCAAGGTACGGTGGCTATAGAACAATGTAAAACAGCCACCAGCAAATTTTCATGATTAGGTATGCCCAAATATGGGACAAACTACCTGAGGAAATGCGACTAGCAAGCTCACTGGTGTCCTTTGAAAGCTCTTAGTGACACTAAGTGGTTTGTAAGTGATACCAGTGCTAATTCCCATGTAAGAGCTTCAGAAATTATAGGCCCATTTAATGTATGAACTTAGAGACTACACCTGTTGTTTCTTTTGCCTTTATCTATAATTTCAGACAAAAAAGCAGCAGTCATGAAAATAACACCCATACAAATAAGAGTCGATGGAATTATGTCTACCTGATACAAAGCCTGAACCATAATCAACATACGAATGAAATATGAGAAAACAAGGTCGAGACTTACCACAACATCACATGGAAGGATATAAGTTACTTGGACATTATTTATAATCCACCAACTGGTCTCCTTTCCAAAAGGAATGCGGCATTTTATCCACAGTTATGAGCAAATACATAAATCCACAGTTCCCGTTGTATACACTCAGTGGAGATTGCAGCCAACAAAGTAATGCATTTAAAGCATATGCACACTTCCCATAATCACGGCGACACCGCGGAATATATCAAAATCGCAGAGTAATCAAACCCAACACGCGATGTAATTAACTGAATCCGAAATGCAAACAAGTTGTATTCCGATTTTGAATATTCGTCCATATGTCGATCATGATGACAAATCCAAATCACTACCTATAAAGCGTCAATAAATCTGGATATCTATGAAATGACGAAAATATGCTGATAGCTGCATCTCAGATCCCAATGACCCATTCAATGGCAAAATTCTGCTCCTGCATGCCTCTTCGACATTTTGTATGGTTATGTACATCATGTGTGATATTGCTTAAAACATCGTTTACGGTAAACTGAGTAACGTTTTATAAGCATTTTATACTTTATCCACATAACTGTAACGCAACAATCAGTTGTTTCGCTCATGTTCAACAAATTCAAACAGTAATTGTGCCTAGGATTATGCCATATAAACTGTTTTAACTTATGCAGAGTGTACTTACGGTCAATATTTCATTATCTTCCCTTGTATATATATTTTGTGTTAGTGAAAAGTTTTAAACATTTTTACTTCATGTGTGCATTATTATGATATTGATGATGCCTGTCAACTGGAGCCCCTCAAGTGCATAAAGTGGGAATGTATTATTGTAAGGCGCATTTTATTGTTATATGAGGGAATTGACTTCAAGCTTTATTTATTTTCCCAAGTATATGTAATCCATCCAACGCATACTTGGTTTTTTTTTGTTAATGCGAAGTCAATATCTCTATATTTCTTGGTGTGTTCCATTGAATCACCAGTTATCCGATTTTCCCCACAAACTGAAGATAAAATGACAACAACCATGTTATTTAACCGTAAATCATGTAATTTAAATATGTAACTTGAATAACTCTTATACATTCCTATACAACTTGTGTGTCCTATATTTGAATGAATAAATATGTACCTTATTATATTATCATTACTAACTATACTTACTAATCGTATGTGTAATTTATCGAACTGATGATGTCTGTAAACTGGCACCCCTCATGTAAAAAAATGAGAATATACTATTATTATTATCGAACCCTATGAGTCGCCGAAATTACTGAGTAACTGAAAAAAAGAAAACAAGGGTTCACAGGATGTATACATGAATATCACCATTAATATAATAATTAACGAGTTAACAGGGTAAGAATTAACAGAAGCTTATACCAGTGTGCGATTACATCAGTCACTATTTCTGATACAAGTGGATGTTTAGACAAAGCAATACGAAGACGTAATTTGTCTGAATCGTGTAATGGGTTCGCGCAACACAATGCGAACAGTCTGAACACACACGGAATTGTCATAGGAATATATATGAAATTAAAAGGAGTTAAGAGATGGGGAAATAAATTTAGGTGAAGTTAAGAAGACACATGTAAGGTCAAAATAACGATGAAGATCACTAAACCAAATAACAGAGGTAATAGTACATCTGACGTGACCGATGTCAAAACTAAGTTTACCAAGGAAGGTTTAGTGTGATGACGAATTGTTTTTGAATGCATAAAGGTGGTTTAAACTTTCTAATTGCTAGGGGTTCCATAAACTTTAAGATAAGCCTTAACACACGTTTTGTGGATGGGTATGTTTAAAAGATGTGAGAAAACTAATTTTATGTGCTGTCTCTATAATATGTTTGGCAATAGAAGAGCTAGGTTTCCTGTTATCACCAGTAATAGGTTCTGAGGATTCTATTTGTTCCTCCGAAACCAGCCCTTAATTGCAGAGATCGACGAGTCCTCCCTAAGTAAATGCAGCAACTGGTTCTAAACATTACGTCCGTAGATTTAATAAACGTCGGGCACTGCGTCTACATGATTCCAAAATAATCCTGTGAACTGTCGTTGTACAAACGCACATAATGTAGCTTCAGGACAATAGCAAAAAACTGGATGGTCTACGAAAGCAAACTCAGTAATAGGACAAAATGGCGCACACCTCTGATGTCTTTACATACCTGATAATGTTGACGTTTAAGTTATCCAAATCCAGCAAAGTACTAGGATACGTTGTAGTGTGCATTTAACACAACTGAAATTTTAGGCAGAAAACAGCGAATGTTGCATGTGACCATTAAACACATTGCAGTTTCTGTCCAGAAATGAACACCAATTTTTGCTTATATCCATGGGTTCCATTGACTTCTAGCAATCAAAACACGCAAAAGTGCGGAAGAACGAAATCAATATCAACCATATTCTTCGGTTCCCGCAACTGAAATAGGTACTGCACAACAGAGTACAAGTCGCCAACTAGCTGCAAACAAATTTTTCGAAAGCCGGTCACCGATGCATACTCGGTACTCGGGAGACGTTTTGATAGAAAATATTATTATTTCTTAATTTAGAAAAGCGTAAAAATTTGTATTTACCTTCACGCATGTGTGGAAATACTGCCATAAGCGACAGTATATTTACACCCAGCTGGATTTGATGTAGTTTTGTATACAGAAAAGTATTGATTTTGTTATATTGTAGCCCGGTACAGTAACTGCGAACCGTTACCGTTAAACTTACACGTTTTCAATGAAAGCAACTGGGGTTAATGGAGTTGCATTTAATCATATAAATCATTAAGTTCGGTCTGCTAAACGAGAGGCGGCTGTTATGAATCTAAGCGCAAAGGCGCCCAAGAAATGTCTTCAGTAAAGGCCAGTGCTGTTAAAGCACTTCAGAAGGAACTGAAAGATCTCAATGAATTGCCAGTTGAGGGATTCAAGGTAATGGTATCTGAAGAGGAAAATCTTTTCGTTTGGGACGTTGCGATATTTGGGCCACCAATGACTTTATATGAAGGCGGTTATTTTAAGGTAAAGAGTCCGATTTTTGTATATTCTTAGGCTCGATTATCTTTTCCGGATGACTATCCATATAGTCCCCCTACAATGCACTTTCTAAGTAGGATGTACCACCCCAACATATATGAAAATGGCGAGGTTTGTATATCAATTTTACATTCGCCAGGAGATGATCCCCAAAGTGGTGAACTGCCTTCGGAAAGGTGGAATCCGACACAAAATGTCAGGTTTGGTATACAGTCACTAACTTCATATTCTTCAGGACTGTACTTTTAAGTGTAATTTCCCTATTAAATGAACCAAACATACATTCAGCCGCTCATGTTGATGCTTCAGTAGCTTATAGAAAGTGGAAGGAATCTAATGGAGTTGAGGATGAGTACGAACGCATAGTTAAGTAAGTTTTGAATTGAGATGCTTTGAAATTAGTTTGAAAATTGTCCACACAAAAAGCCCCACGTATCCTGCAATTATGGTTTTACTGGTTTATGTAGCGTAGACTATCATCATTGTTTACTGTACCACGAAAAGTGTATTTTTGTAATCAGACTCTACAGTTTTATTGTCTCTTAAAGCGTAACCTCTAACTTGATTGTTTTATTTGTTTAAACAAACTGAGTCCTGTGTGCCACACAAAAAGTAATAGAATGATAATATAAAGATAATTTAATGGCATAAATTAGTGACGCCATCATGAACATACTTATCCAAAGCATTCAGGTAGTGGTTCTCTACTTCATGTTACATTCAGGAAGAAAGGGAGAAGTTCCACCATGTTCATCGCTGATTGACGTCCTCAGCTATGTCCATTGACATGTCGAACCACTGATTCGAATTACCTCTCAGACCCAACCCAAGGAGTTGTGTTGCACTAATGGATGTTAGCCTAACACAACTATCCTTCATCCCATGGTGCGACATCATGGTTTGGCCACCCTCCAAATTCTCCTATCCATTCCCATGGATTTCAAACACTCAGCGGTATGACAGCCGCTGGGTTGATATTCGTAATTCATGTTGGTTTTTAAGCTCAGGTTTCATTTTCATGGCTTTAGTAGTTTCTGTTCTTTGGTTCCATTTATATAAGTTCCATTTACTACATGCACTGTTTCGACCAACAAAGGTTCCGTAAAAAATTGTAGCTGGTTTTTGATTATAATTGATTTGATATGGATATGTGAAGATAGGTTTTCTGCTTAATGATCAACGCGTGTCTTGAAAACTATACATTCATTGAAAATTCGTAAAGTTCTAGTGTTGGGTTCTAGTTTTTGAAACAGGAGAATTATAAAAATCAACTACCGGAAGCTGCATTTAATTTTGTGGATATTAGTTCATGTTCTGTCGATTTTTCACATGAATAGTGAACAAACATATAAGTACAAAGCTTGATAAAGTGAATTGATTCAAGTTGCCGAAGTCCGCAACAACAAAATCTGTAAACACAGAAAAATGGACGTTACAAAAGCCAACAAGTTAGTCGAATAAATGTTCGGAATTTCCGAGATAAATGTGTTCATTTGATTCATTGTAATCTTGTAAGCTGTGATACGATGTTTTTAGTTTTAATGGTAGGAAAGTTAAAGCTAAATGCCAGAGAATGCATTAACAAACTTTTTTGGCTGTTTTGACGTCATTTAAAATCTATGCGTTTTATCAAGTTACCAAAATAGGTGAATAAATACTGAATATCTTTTATTCACTTATGCAGTATCGAAGGCATAGCCGCAATAACGTATTGTGGGTCATGAGTGTACTGACTTCCTTACAGCTCATTCTGTTGTGAGGAAGTTGAAGCTCCGGTATCTATGAGTACCAGTTTCCAAATCGTCGTGTTATTCAGATTGTTGTGGAAATTTTTCAAACTTCTGGATGTTTTCTCCAGAATTATGACCGTTCATAACTCACCTAATACCTCTAATAATTCCTAATGCGATTCGGTTGTTGTTTTTTATCCTGTATGTCCGACAGCCGTGAGTAGTATCTGACTACTGAGCCGGCTTCATGAACATCTCGAATCATCGCTGCCCAGGTGCGGCGATCTGATGAAGAGAGTTCATGAAGTTTCATGGGAATTTGGTACGAGTGATGTCCCCAGAATCGCTCGGCCTTTTGTTTGAGAGTGCAGCTCTAGCCTTTACACACCATTTTGAATGGGGCCAGACATCCAGGACATCCAACAAGCCCTTTGTCCATACGTCTGCCGGTGAGCTCCAGTGAGCTTCATACGCCAGTCGTTGGAGGTTTGGAATCAGGGTTTAGCCATCTCCCCTAGACTGTCATCAATGACTACAGTGAGTAGGACTTCCTCAGGAGAGGCTATGTAAGACGCCCGGTCATATGGGAGCATTTCAAGAGGTGTGCGGAGGGGTGGCCAACCCGCAGCGCAAGGCACCCACCCCCGACCATCCTGAGGCTTTGGAGGCTACTACTGTCACCCTGTGCAATTTGAGAAACATAAATTTTAATAAAGGGAATCTCTATGCGTCGTTTTGTTTCGGTCAGACAACATTACTAGTGGTTTGATTATAATTATTTTCAGTTAAAGTTGACTATCAGTGTAACAGACATGCAGTTCTCATTAGTGGTATTACACTGTAATTTATACGGTTTATTATTATTATTCCCTTGGGTTCCGAGTGGAACATAGGACTTCAACAACACATCTCCACTTTGTTCTATTCTCTGCCACCCTCTTTAGCTGCGTCCACGATTGCCCATAATCTCTCATCTCCTCCTCGCCACACCATCTCCTCCATGTCATACTCGCACCGACGACCCACTCGTCTCTTCCCATTGGGATTACGCTCTACCAATGACCTGCCTTGCGCGCGACGTCGTTCGACGGCCTCCTCAACGTGTGCCCGATCCGTCTCCATTTTCTCCTACATATTTGTTGAGCAATCGGCTCTTGGTTTGTTCGTCCCCAGAGTATCTTGTTGCTAATTCTTCCTGGACTGCCATTTGATCTTGAGTATGGAGCCAGCCAGCGAACTGGGTAACTGTTGATGAAAGTCTGCAGTCGCCTGTTGGAAATCCTTTTCATGACACAGTGCAAGTTTCTGACCCGTATAGAAGAACTGACTGACTGACTTTACATTTGTGTTGAAAATCCGAATCTTGTACTTTATGCTGGTTGAGTGCAGAAGATTTCCAAACTGGTTTCAGGTTGATGAAGGTGTATTTTGACTTTCCAGTTCTGGCTTTAACATCTCCAACGGTTCCGCCTGTGGTTGAAACCGTGCTTCCTGGTGAGATAAGTGAAGGAGCTAACCTCTGTTAAGTCTCTCCCGTTGATGGTGATTGGTGCTGGTTGTTGTCACTGTTGGTGTTGGTTGGTTGTCTTCATCACCTCCGTCTTCTCTATGTTCACCTGCAGTCCTGTCTTCGCTGCCTGCCTCTTCTGCCAGTTTGTTGATTTTCACCTGCAAGTGTTCGAGTTTGTGCGAGAGTATACATAAATCATCTGCGAAATCCAGATCTAGAGTCTTCTTATCCGTCAGCCCAACATATTCCTGTCTTCTCACTCCCAGTGCACAGTCTGACGCATAATCCAACCCACCACAATTAAGAATATCATTGGTGATAATAGGCAGCCAGCTTGTCTTACTCCTGCATTGAATTCAAATGCTTCGCTGAGTTTTCTGTTGTGGATCACCTGACACGTGTCATTGTCATATAGCCATCTGTTGAATGAGGTTGGTAAAGACTTGGGCAGTGCACGCTATAGTGTTGAAGCAGTTTCTTAATTACTTCTCGGTAAACGCTGCGCTTTCGAAGGTCCTCTCGAAGTTGATGAAGTTGAGATACAGGTTTGACTGCCATTCTTTGTTTTGTTCTGTGAAGATGATGTGTAGAGTTGTAATTTGATCAGCACATGATTTGCCTTTCCTGAATCCAGCTTGATCGCATTCGAAATTTCTGCTTTCGTTAGAGTATTGATGTCCACCGGCAGGCAGTTCTATGCGTGCTTTCAGTAGTGGTATTTCTGAACGAGTTGCAGTTGATGGTCGATTCAAGAGTCCTTTAAAGTGATCAGCCCATTGTGTCATTTGTTTCTTCTCCTTGGTAATCAGGTCCCCTCGAACATGTTTTATTGGTTTCGTCATCTTGGTTGATCTCTTCCCGGATCCAGATAGACCTGATTATCTGATATAATATTCTGAGGTCTCTTACCTGCCGCCTGCGTGTTCTGCTTCAGTTGCCGGCCAGTGTGCTGTAGAATTGTCTTTTGTCTTTCCCAGCACTCTTCTTCACTTCCTTATTCTCTGCAGTGTACATTGAACTCAGCTTCTCCTTGTTGTGCATCTTTGCACTGAGTCATCTTTTCTTTCACCATCCTCCTCTCCTCGATTAGCTTCCAGGTAGGTGTCTTTGAGAGCCATTCCTTATCTTGTCTTTTCTCTTCTTTCTTCCTAGAACAGTTGTACACGTTTCCTTGAATATCGCCTTCATAGAGTTCAACTGTTTTCCACTCAGGTTTCCTCAGTAATGCCACGTAGTGTCTCCGACTATGCTCTAATCTGATCTGTAGTGAAGGTATCCCTTGTAGTTTTGTCCTTCAGTTTCTGAATATTGAACTTTAATTACAGTGGCTTATCTCCAGTTGCTCTGAAGGATTTCAGCTTCACCTTGTAGGTAGGTTCTTTGAACTATATGATGGTGTGAGCCCACATCTACTTCCTTTCTCGACTTTGTGTCCAGCAGGCTGACTGCGTCTCCACTTCCTTGAGCAGCATTTATATGAAGTTTATCTGGTTTGTGGTGTGTCCGTCAGGCGAAATCCATGTTGCTTTGTGTATATCTTTATGCTTGTACACGCTGCCTCCGATCATCAAATCATTGAAAGTGCAGAAGTTTGCAAAGAGTTCTCCTTTCTCATTCATTTCCTCGAGTGAGAGGCTCTCGACCCATGATGAGTTCTCTTCCTGTATTGCCTGCTCCCAGTTTGGCATTCATATCGCCCATAAGGATTTTGATGTCACCATTTGGGATATTGTCCTTTACTGTTTGTAGTTGTCTGTAACAATCTCCCTTCTCTTGTTCCGCGTTGTTTGTAGCACTGTGCGTAGCATTGGATAATTGTAACATTCCTTCCTTCCTTTTGAGTTAAATCTTGCTGTCATGATCCTCGATGGTATTGGTTCCCACTGCATTAGAGCTTTGGCTACTGTTGATGACATCGTGATAGCTACTCACTGCCTCAGTGTGCTCGTGATTGTCGTTTAGGTGACTGAAGTAGATCACTGACTCACCAACTGACAGTTATATTAGCCCATATCCATTCTATCTGCTCTCGCAGATACCCAGCACTTCTATGCCATATCTTCTCATTTATTTGGCTACCTAGGCAGCCTTCCCAGCTGACTTCGTACATTGTGCGTGTATTCCACGTCCCTATTCTTATTCTCGCTTTCATCGAGAGAAGACACATCGGCTGACTGACTAGCTTTCCGAAGGCTTTCACCAGTCCACTTTGTCATTTCGCCTCTTCGATTCCAGCGACAAATAAGTTTGCTTTTAATATCTCTTGTATTTTTAGTACTTTCTTTGTGTGTTAAAGTTCCCGTAGCAGTTTGATTGGTTTTGTGGTGTAGGGTTGCTAGCCCCACGCCAGACCCTCTCTCTTTACGCGGGCTTGGGACCGGCTATAAAACTAACAAGCTAGTGAACTAGGCAAGGTTAATTTATACGGTTTAGAGTGTATTATGCATTATTTGTGTTCATTACCCTAGTGAATATTTCTATATTTTAGATCACTTGTTATAGCAACTCATGAAGAGGCTAAGAAGGATGGTGTAACTGTTCCAACAACTGTCGAAGAGTATTGTGTGAGTGGTAAATCAAGTTCAAGAGCATTTTGCCATCAATCTGGCGACTTAGACGGTTTGTCTGATTATGGTGACGACGAGTATTATGGCTCTGATGGAGATGATGAAGATGAAGGCTTGCTTACAGATACGAATGAAGATCAAAAATCAGCATTTACGGGTGAATGTTCTCAGGCGTCCAAAACTGATTCTACAGCGCATGAACCTCACTCGAGTAAATCAGAAAATGTCCTGAAAACCACATTACATTCATCATCAGTAAACCCAAGTGAATCTTCGAGAGTTATCGATCATCGGATATCAGGTGAATGCAATCGTGTGACTTCTCCGAGTTAGTTGATACTTTATAACTCTGGGTTTTCACTGACTTTAATTTTCTGTAATATTATTTCTTAATATTTTGTTTACTTTGGAACGAAAGATATTTTTGATCTCAGAACAGATACAGTTGAATTCTGTGAAATTTATGATTTTTTTTGATTTATAGTTACTACTAGTCTATTGTCCAAATTTCTTTCTTTTGTGTTCTATTATGTGAAAAGTATTTGACAAAGATTATTGATATGGTAAAAATTCAAGTCCATATATTTGCAATACTTTGTTTATAATGATTACTGTTACCGCTGCTGTTGCAGTTGCTTTTGCAGATATTTTTCTCTTCTTTTGTTTCACAATTACTAGATTTCAAGTCTTGTACACATTTCTCTTACACATAGACTTTTATGTTGGTCTTCCATTGTCCCCCTAAACCAGTAGTAGTCTTTAATCAACTCTTTGTACAAAATATTTCATGTTTTTTCTTTTTTACATATTCATGTTGTCTTGTTTACTCTAACTCCTCCTTAGTCATGAAATAAAGCACTGTTAACTTTAGCAGTTAATATGTATGCTTTTGGTTCAGTTTTTAAAATCATTTCCTTCTTTTAATTAATATATGTGAATATATTATCTCCAAAAAAAATGAATATCTCAGCAGTGGAATTGTTAACTTTGTTTCAGTTGCGTCAGGGAAGTAATCTGCATTTCTGTTTATATATGTACTGGTAATTATATTGATCAAATCAAAGTGTGGGGTATTATATTAGAGAAGATTTGTAGCTCAAGTGGATGATTTGCAATTAGTTGTGTTCTCTGAGCTGGTTAGTTTAATTGCGGAGCTTTCGTCGTCCTTCTGGACATCGTCAGCGCAAGTTTTAGCATAAAATGAACTGATTTAAATTCTCCATGAATGATAGAATTGCGTCTCCCAGTAACCATCTTTACATATGTATTGATCATTTTCTATTGACTTGGAATGGAAACTTTCTCGTCACATGATTTACTTTTTATTAGTTGGTATATTTCGTCTATATTAACGTGTTTGTTGATTGCATTTTCGTTTGAGTACCAGGCTTCTAGGAATTCTCTGGCACTTCTGGTGTTTCCTCTGCTGAAAATTTCGACAGTATCCCAGTCAAACTGATGTCCATAATTATCTATATGCATTGATATGAAAGAATATATATCATGTATTTTCACAGATAATTTGTGTTCTTGGATTCTGATTCGAAGGGGACGCCCACTTTGGCCGATGTAATGTCTGTTACAGTTCATACAATTTATTTTGTAAATGGTATTAATTTTATCATCTTTTTCTGTTGAATCTTTCGATATGCACAATATCGAATTAAGTAGTTGTGTTGTCTGGCTTGTGTGCTATATCTATTTCAAACGCTTACAATACTCTAGCTGTAATTTCAAAGGTATTTTTTATATATATGATAGGATGAATTTTCTTGTAGTCTTTGATAATGGTTTCTTGTTGATGTTGTGACTCGATTTTAAACACTTTTTGATGAAATTGTGAGGATATCCATTCATTTTGAAGACCGTTTGTAGGTATTTTTCTTCCATTCTTTTCAACTTTAGAGTGCTACAATGTGTTTGAAAAGACATGATATATATTCTTTCATGTCAATGCATATAGATAATTATGGACATCAGTTTGACTGGGATACTGTCGAAATATTCAGCAGAGGAAACACCAGAAGTGCCAGAGAATTCCTAGAAGCCTGGTACTCAAACGAAAATGCAATCAACAAACACGTTAATATAGACGAAATATACCAACTAATAAAAAGTAAATCATGTGACGAGAAAGTTTCCATTCCAAGTCAATAGAAAATGATCAATACATATGTAAGTCGACTACCCGTCACGAAGATGTTAAACAAGGGGACGCAATTCTATCATTCATGGAGAATTTAAATCAATTCATTTTATGCTAAAACTTGCTCTGAAGATGTTGTCCAGAAGGACGACGAAAGCTCCGCAATTAAACCAACCAGCTCAGAGAACACAACTAATTGGGGGGTGGGTATTATGTTAATATTCATTAATTCTTGATTAAAACTCCTGTGTCGTTTATCTGAAGTCCATGTAAATGGCTTATGGATCCACTCTATTTCTTAATGGCTTCGTTAGGAAATTATATAGGAAAATTGGGCATATTTATGTCATGTTATGGCAGAACGAGATTCCTTGACACCAACATACTTGATGAACAGATGTTTCTTTGACAGTAATTTTTACGAACTGACAATTAAAAAGTTACTGAAAATCTGGGAAATGTTAATTAACAATTTTATTTTAATATAAAGCTCAAGCGAAATAATCTGGGTTAAACAAACCGTCTTGCGAGAACCCTATGCATCATCATCGGATAAAGTCGAGAATGACAGTCAACTGTATACCTCAATTTTATTAACCTTAAGAAGTCCTCTGATAGCGTCGACCGCGAGGTGATTTTTGTAACTGCTTCAACATTACTAGGTGCAGTGTTGCGGACATTCTTAGACTAACAGCTATACGATGATGCTGCATGCCAAACGATTCACAGCGGAAAGCTCACAAAAGTGTGTGAATTGCTGTTAGACGTAAGACAAGGCTGCCTACTGTCACTGTGATATTCCCAATTATGGTGGATTGAATCATGCAACCGAACGTGGGATGTGAAATGACTGGTATCCCTTGGACCGATTAAAAGACCCATTTGAAGATGATTAATTTTTCGAGTCTCACAAACTCAGACACCCACTCCTTTTAGTCTTTTCACTGTCCGAACTGCCTTTTCGGTATTTTTAAGGCCCCAGGAAAGTTGGTCTTAGAATATATGGTTCTCTGGATTATTGCGACAAACAAGGTAAATAAATACCGTAGAGCTGGTTACTGTCGGTCGGGAACTTCGTCCACATAAATAAACTAACCTCTCAAAATGATTTTTTGATTTTTGATTACAGCTTGATTCCACACTGTATTTTTTTGTATAGGTATGGAATTTTCAGCATATGATATCGGTAGCCCAAATTTACAGGCCGACCATAGGTATCGGGTGTGCGTCTGCAGGGGATCGAACCCCGGACCATGTGCATGGTCGGCGAGAGTCCTAACCGCTGTATCTAGCCAGTTAATTATTTCATAAATAGGACGGTCATCTGACCTAGTTTTGTGTTTCCTGCTGATCAATATGTGCTGCTTGGTACCAAATTGCAGCGCTTCACAGTATCGAGTGAAGTAATCTAGTGACTGTATTGCAAACTCTATCAGCATACGGATTAGCGCTAAAAACTTGTGAACAGTATCTATCATTATTTCTATATGAAAGCGATTTCATCATATTTACAGTTCAAGTGTCTTTAGGCATGTATCGCTTGATCAATCAATGATCAAATACTACAGAAAACAAAAAGAACAACTATTAGTAAAGAATACCATGAATCCATTTCATTTCACAGGTTTTCTCCATTTGCGTATAACCTGTAACAGTTTGATAAAATGAGTGTTAATACACCTTCAACGTACTCTTGTTCATCGATAGGAATCAGTCCTCCAGTGACAGAAAACATACGAATGATAAGTCATCTTAAAGTATTACAATGTTATATATATATATATATGCCAAGGGAGGGATAATGATTGTACGAACTTCTTTTGAATGCATAGTTTAGGTTTAATAGTTAGAATGCCTATCGCCTCAGCTGTGTGCAGTAGACGAATACGAAGTTTATTGGAAAGATTCGTTGGGATACGATGAATTACTTTGAAAGCTCTCGTTTTCTCGACTACATGACCACTATGAATTAAATGGTGACTTATCAAGTGATATTTTATTCCAGAGACTTTCCAGGAGTATACGGAGAACGTTTTACGCAGCATACCTATGTTTGTCATTCTCTAGCCGACGAATGATTCGGACGCAAACGAAGGATAAGCTAGATAGTTTTACCACATCTATGTGTATTTATCAATTCAACTGCCCCTGTGTTGGGCGTACTACTAGACAGCCTAGCCAACGTGCTAGTGAATATCTGCCATCGTGGTTTGGCAAAGGAAAGACAAAAACAATCCGTAGCTCAATTTTGTCACATTTAATTGATAGTGGTCATGTAGTGGAGAAAACGAGAGCTTTCAAAGTAATTCATCGTATCCCACCGAATCTTTCCAATAGACTTCGTATTCGTCTACTGCACACAGCTGAGGCGATAGGCATTCTAACTATTATATATATAATATTAAACAATCTGAAGTCTAAAATGTAAAACAAATAACAGGGCAATCTACTTCACTTGATTATAAGGTGAAACATTGCAGCATGGTCAACAAAATAGTCTCACTAGCCAGAGCCTGTCCTGCAGGTAAGGTCGTCGCCGTCTATCGAACAACTTGCTCTTTGGTGCAATCAAAAATCGATAGATATCCTTCTCATGTTAACTCCAACTGTATATACAAATTTACATGTATCTGCGGGAGCAGTTACATTGGAAGGACAGAAAGAAGGGTATATCTACGATTTTCTGAACATGTACCAAAAAGCTTATGTGTATAGGGAACAAATGCTTTAAACAGTGCCATCGCCAGGTATCTCCTTGACACGGGTCATGAGGTAGACGTCGCAAAATCGTTCAAAATTATCAATAGGCAAAAGAGCTCACTTCTTCTCAAGTTTGCTGAAGCCATCTCCATCAATCGCCTGAAACCTGATTTGTGCATACAAAAAGAAACAGTTATCAGTCTTTCTTTGCCCTGGTTATTTTCATCTCTCTTTCATCTGAATACGTAATGCCGAAAGTTTCCATTGTATATGATCATTATTGTTCGGAATAGTGTTTAATATTATATGTATATATATATATGGCCTGTAAGCAGCTGATGAGGAGGCAATGAAATAAATGATAGTACCACTTTATTCTGTAAAAACTGTTGTTCTTGGTTTATTCAAATTCACTAAGGGGAATGAATGTATAAGTTTTTGTTATTGGTAATATTTCGAACAAAATTACTGCCCGTGTGTTCACCCCAACTGTTGGAATCGTTTTTTGTTTTTTAATTCCAGTTGCGTAACCGGGCACAATAAAATACAGTGAGTAGAACTTTTTACAAGGTTGAAAGAAGATCGAAATTCGGTGTGTAAGAACTTTAATGAAAATATGATTTAATACAGTGAGCAGAACTCGAAGGATCGAAGATTGAGTTTTGGTATGAAAGTCCAACTGAAAACTAGGAATTGAGTAGAATGACGAAAGCTGCACAACAGAATTTAAATGTCAGTAGTTTACAGAGTTTGTGGAACAATTATAACTCATTCGAAAGTGGGGAGTATAGGAAAATATCACTCTAGCTAAACCAATGGTACTCAGTCTTTTATTTCTCAATTTATTTGCAGGTAGATTATCATTAAAAGTTATGTTTGGAACAAACCTCTTAGCATATTTAACGTTGATTGATTATTAATAATGTTTATTGTGATCTGGCCTATTCAGAAAGTATTGGTTTTGTAGGGATGTTGTTTGATTGCATGGAGGATTTCATCATAAGCCGACATCAGTTGGAGAACCACTGGAAAACCTGGGAGTACTGGACAGCTGTTTCGTCCTAGTTTGGGGCTCTTCACAGTACGCACCCACCAGTATTCGAACCCAAGACCTTCTGGTTACAACGTTCAATGGTCTACAAGCTCGCCTTGTAACCGGAAGGTCTTGGGTTCGAATCCCGGTGGGTGCGTACTAATGAAGAGCCCCAAACTAGGACGAAACAGCTGTCCAGTA